CCCGGGCAGGAAGGGCAGTAACGCACCGGGCCAGCACACGCAGTGGCGGCTAAGGGGGCGATGGCCGACCCCGGGGCTGGAGTCCTAGACCTGGACACACATGTGCATGTGGCCAAAATCCCGAAAGGAGGGAGAGATGCAGAAGGGACTGTAGCGTGACCATCTCCCTGGAGGGTGCTTTCTCAATTTCCCTCTCTGTCTCTGCTGAGCACCATGCCCTTGCGCAAATTAAAAAATAAATAATATAGTAGTACTACTACTACTAAACATGGCTGCCATAGGCTGGGCTGAGCACACACTGAAGCAGTGTCCTCACTCACAGAGGGGGCACTGAGGCGCAAGGAAAGGGAGACCTGGCTAGGAGGCGGTGGAGCTGGGATCCAAGCCCAGGGCCGTGCGAGGCCGCCCCGCCTGAGCCTGAAGGAGGGACTGGGAAAGAGCTGCTGGCTGGGCCGGGTCTGCCAGGGAGCTGGGACAGTGCAGGGCTCCCAGGACGAGGGTCAGCCCTCCCGCCAGGCCTGACGGGGAGCAGAGTCCGCTGGGCACAGGTGTGGAGGGGGCCTAGGTGCAGAGCGGCGCAGGCAGGGCTGTGGCACAAGGCAGGCAGGGCTCTGGGCAGGGGCATTTGTGGGAACAGTGGAGGGCGAAGGTGGCAGAGAAGAGCAGGAGCTGGCAAGCCAAGGCCTGGGCAGGGGCAGCGGCACAGAGCCCCGAGAGCAGGGCAGCCAGCATGCAGATGGAGCCCGAGTCGGGAGAAGGCGCCGGCCCTCACCTCACTGTCGTGGAAGGGCTTGGAGCGGATGGTCAGGCTGCCCAGCTCGATGGACTTCTGGAACCTGGCAGGGACCCGCAGGCCCCGCAGCTTGTCGTAGGCATGCCGTGCCAGCTTGTAGGCACCCAGCGCCTTGCTCTGCTTCGCCAGGGTGAAGAGCGTGTTCCTGCCATATGCCGGGTTAAGGGCAGCAGAGGCCTCCCTGGGCCCGAGTGGGCACTGCCCCTTGGACAGAGCGCGCTGGACTGTGGCGGGGAGGGCGCAGGCAGGAGCCTGCAGAGCGCTCACGCACTCATGAGCGGTGGATGTGGATTCTCCGGATATAAAGACTGCGCTGTTGCCACTAATATTTTAACCTTGGTGGCTTGGCTTGTACCCTGACCGTGCCAAAACGGCTCCGTCCCACCGAGCGGCACTAGGTGCCTCCTGTTCCAGCCTGGCCGGGGGGCCTGCCCCAGATCACCAGGACAGCTGCCCTCGGCTGCGGTTCAGAGGTCACTAGGTACACAGCACTCGGCCAGCCTGCCCTTCCCTGGGGCCCCTGGCACCGCCTGCACGGCAGCCCCCGCATCCTCCGGCCCCCTCTGAGCTCCCGGGCCTGCAGTTGGTGAGCCTTGTGCTCTGCCAGCTGTGCTAGCCCTGCTGCCCTCTGCCCCTGGGGACCTCTGCTCACACCGGAGCCACCTTGGTCCTGCCCCACCCCTTTCAGTGCCAGCAGTCTGTGCAGGTGGGCACCCTTGTGTCCCCACTGCTTCCTCGAAGTGGAGACCATGTCAGAGCCATTTCCGGTCCCTGGGGGACAGCGTATGGTGAAGCTCATGGCACAGGTTCGGTCAGTCCCGGCTGACGTGAACGGAGCTAGCTGGAGAGGCCGGGTGTCCGGGTGCAGGTCTAGGCCCAGCAGGCATGCCCTGGCCACCCAGCAACTGGCTGGCCAGTCAGCAGACAGAATGTACACGGGGCCTGGAAGCCCTTGGAGAGGCCACCTCTCACCAGTGGGCACCTCTGCTCCCCTCCGCTGCTCAGGAGGAAGGGGGCTGGGACGGGGCAGAGAAGATGGCAGATTTAGGAGAAGGGCCATGTGGCTGCTGCGACCCTCAGGGTCTTTCAGTGCCGGTCAATTGCTGGCAGTGTCTGGCCATAACAGAGACCGCGGGCTCACAGGGAGTCCTGCTGCCTCCCCGGCACCTCCCACACCTGTGCTTGCCTTGCCTCTGTGCCCTCCCACAAACCAGGACTCCCCTGGGCATCACACTACACTTCCCTGGGCGCCTGGGCCCATAGGGTAGATGTCACCTTCTCCAGGCAGCCTTCCTTGGATGGAGCCCTGGCCTCGGCCTTGTCCCAGCTTCGGTCACGGCACACATCCCACTGAACCAGGGCAGCTTGTCAGCTCCCTACCAGATGGGGCCTGGGGCCTGAGCAGGGGCACCCATACACCTGGGCTGAGCCTCCACCTCTCCTGACCCAGGAAGTGCCCAAGATTCCAAGCGCTGCTCAGAAACCTGTGGCTGGGCCCAGCCCAGGGCGCCCTGGAAAGCCTCTTCTTGGCACCAGCCCCCGGCCCGGCTGGCCAGGCCTCCGGCAGAAGGGCAGCAGTGGGCAGGCGCACCCTTCCCCGAGGACTGCGGGGAAGAGCCTCTGCCAGGAAAGTGCGCTGGGAAGGCCTTCTCGGGGCCATTAGGCGAGGAGCGATGGGGCAGCTGAGAGAAAGGATACACTTTAGAGATGCCCAGGGGGGTGTCCTTGGTCAGGCTGTGCAGCAGGAACCTGGAGATGTTGAAGAGGGTTTCGGGAAGGTGGAAACTGAACGGCTCCTCCTGCAGCGAGAAGGGCGAGCGGGTGCAGGTCCTCAGTGGCACCGCGCTGGGCGGACACCAGTAACCCCGGGCGGCTGCAGCGTGGCGACAGCAGCAGCTCCCAATGCGGAGTATCCGCCGCGTGCTGCCCGCCGCATGCTGCCCGCCGCGTGTTGTACGTGTGGCCTCTCCTGCAGGCCCT